ATTGCTAAAGGATTTCTGTTATATTTTTAAAATGTGAACTAATGAAAGAGGCGACCATTTCATAATCCGATTTTTGAAGTTTTTATTGCATTCTTCACACATTAAGTTGCTTTCTTTTTTAAAATTTTATAATTAAAATTATATATCTATTTATCAAGTGCCATTCAATAAATGTTTTCTTCTCTTGCTGTAAAATTTATTACTGTACTTCATTCAGTTGTCGATTTTTTCATGTGATCAAGTTTGYCAGTTCCTGTAACATTTTTTTCTGGTCTTCCATTTTCTTGGCTTGTTCTATCWTGAAGTGTTTAGTKACCTGACTGCTTGCTTCGTCTTTTTCTAAAAAAGTAAATTAAAAGTAAAGGAACTATGAAAATGMTAATCCTGTATAAACTAAAGATAACGGAAACACAAGAAAAAATAGTGTTAGTGTGCATGAGTATCCATTTTAGAAGGTTTGTTTTCGGACGTCATTGACGCTGAATTTTGGAAAACCTGCATTTTCTTCGCTTTTTCTTTTCTTCAATGGAACTAAGAACTAGTAACTAATTATGAAGTTCTCACTGAGGCTAGTATTGAAAATTATCCAATGGCGACTTTAAAAGTCTAAAACTAACATATCATCCCTATGAAAAATGGCTAAACACTGGAATTAAAAGGCACGAAATTCTTGTAGACTTATCAATAAGGGTCCTATAAGTAACGTATTTTGACAAGATATTGATACAATTTCTTAGGAATTTTGTCAAAAGATTTTGAAGTATATGACGTCATATACTCCATCCTTTTGTTCTTTCTTCGTTTGAGGCAAAATTTTCTCTACTTTGGGATGATTGAATAGCAAAACGTTTTTCTGAGAAGGTATAATACTATAATAGGTATAAATGAGTTACTCGACCCCGTTTTGGATAGGTACCTGCCGCAAGCGGTCTAAATCCCTGACCCTAAAAAGTGAAAATCCATACCCTGTTCAAAACAAATTGGAAAAATAAGGAATAGCTATCTGCGCCGCAACCATCAAAAGTGCAATTATACTGACATCCATCAAAGGCAATAAGAAATTTTTGATAACACGTTATTCCTGGGACAGTGAAACGGTATTTCTACGGTATTTCTTATAAAAATATTACGCTGTCTAAGACACACAAAAAATTATATCGGTCTTTTATCTAAATTGTAGAGCATGTTTAAGACAATTTCGGGTGAAATGTATACCCTGTTTAAGACAGCAAGGGCAAAAACCATACCCTGGCCAGCGGCACGTCCCCGTATA